ATAAATGCAAATATATGGGGTCATTTTACATTACAGCAGATACATGTAATTTATAAAAAAGTATCTATGGTTTATTTTAAATTATCTTTCGAATGATAGTAATGGAAAATCTTTTACTCTCTGTTCTAAATTATAAGTCATTTTAACTTTTTTGAAAAGTCAAACCATCTCAAATTTGGCTAAATTTATATAATGAAATAATAACATTATGTTTCCAAACAAATATCATTAGATTCTTTATTAATTCTATTTTTATAGTATACATATTTGACGTCATAAATCTTTATAATCTTCTCTATAATTTTGGTCAAACTTGAGATGCTTTGACTCTTCAAAAAATTGGAATGACTTATAATTTGGAATGGAGGGAGTACAGTAATAGAGGTAGGCAATTTAGATACAAATTTTATGATTTACTTTGATTATGTATAGGGGTACTTTATGCATTTTTCTTAAAAGGCAGACTGGGTAAGTTTTTTATGAAACAAAATAAATCTCTAATGGCTATTATTTACGATGATGATTTCTGAAATTAAAGGACAAATGTTTTTGACTATTAAGAGAATTTATAGGATTTATGTATCTTTTTTCTAAAGTGCTTATTAATAATAGTAAGATAAGATTCCGTCGTCTTCTTGTAATAATGAATAGTCCTATCTCACAGAAGAGATTCAACACCTCTAAAGATTATTATTAATACAATCGCAAGATGTGAGCAGATTGGTTAACAAAAATCAGAGTGTAGTGGGTCCCATAACAATTACGCTTTCTTGTATAAAATATCAGCGGCTCCTGCCCACACCGTTGACAACATAAGTCACGTTTCCATCCTAACCACACCGGACGCCTGGCCTGCCCACATATCTTGGTGCCACAGCCCAGAAGTGGAAGCGGAGTGCTCTCGCCTCTGCACTAGCCGCAGCAATATTATGGCGACTGGCGAGAGCACACCTAGCCCTGGTCAGCTTCGTAGCTGCCCTCGTTGCCTCAATTATTGTAGAGCTTTAGATTGAAGCTGCTAATTTTAGCCAGCTAAAAGCAGCCACTAAACTTTACTCACTTGGGTGGACTAAATGGGACTAAATCTGATAGCATAGTGTGTAGGATGACCAAAACGTCCCTAATTAAATGCTAACTCCTACCCCTAGGAGATTTGGCGCATTGGACGCGCTGCTGGCCGTGCGTGCTGGTAAGTTTGCCACGCTGGGCGCCCCTGCTTGCTGCTGGGCGCGCTGCTCTGCTATCTGGCAGCAGCAGTAACAATTTTGCACTCTCAAATAATGTACAAATCGTTATTACAACTTTCGTCCCCGTCTATTGGGATTATTTGCTTGAGAAGAAGATGCTTCACCATTTGGATCATATTTTTCATCTTAATCACATAAGTCAAAGAGATCATCCATCATACCACTCTGTCTAATGAAATTATGTAATGCCATGCATACCATAATTATTTTGCTTTGCTTAGGCATTGGAAAGCTAGGTAAATATAACAAAATCCTCCACTTTATCTTTATAACTCCAAAAGATCACTCTATGATATTCCTAAGTGAAGAATGTGCATAATTAAACAACTTTTTACCTCTTGGTGCAGGTCCTTACCTCCATTAAGGGACATGATATTTTGTAGGGTACAAGGTAACCTGGTCGGTTTAGGTATCCTGAGTCAACAAGATAAAATTTTCCTATACAATATAATCCTTGAATAAGTATCGTGCGAAATAATTCAAGTAGGCAAAAAAAAAAAGATCATAGATCACATGTATACCTTTAGGTGAATGTGGAAACTTGTCACCATACTTCTCAATTGCATCATTGAACACCCTCATAGCATGAACCGAGCCAAGCCATCTAGCCACCACAAAAGTAAACCTCATATCAAAATCACAAACGGCCAACACATTCTGAGTGGTAATTCCTTTCCTTCCCGTGTACTAAACTACCTTCTCAGATACTACAATTACAGATACATGTGTCCCATCTATGGTTCCAATACAATTATCAAAGTATGGAGTAAAACGAGCACCTCTCAACCTTTGATGCACAGTAGTAAACTGAGGACCCTTAGGCCTAATGATATCAGCAGCTAGCTTGCAAACACTTTCCAACACTTTGTCAAACTTCCTACTACATGTCGCCAGTGATCTCTCAAGCCTATTATCTGCTTGTCTCATGGACAGTTGGGAACCACACATCCACAAAAACATTGCAAGAGCCTCTGTAGAAGTCATTTTTCGAGTGGACTTCAAACCATACCTCTCTATAAGAATATTGTGTAGATTATCAAACACATTCCTATGCATCCTAAACATGTTATAACATTGGTTCTTGATTCCTAGGTTTCTTATAGTCCATTGATACCCACTTTCTACAGGTTCTCTATAAAGAGCTCTGTCAATGTATTTCTCAAAGTGATACATACCTAGCTTGCAAATAGCAAGCAGTATGCTGCTGCTATACTGATCCGTTTCTTGCTATTCCAATCCAACGGAGACGGAGAAATGCATGTTTGCCTGCGCTACTGGTGCCGGATGAAACAGGTGCGGCGTCGAAGTCGTTCACCATCACCAACAACTGCGAGCACAACGGTAATGCTTCTTATAGACCTACCTCCCCGCGCTGCGTACTCCCGTTCGCAGGACAGACCCTGTGGTCGCCCACACTGCCCTCGCCCGCTCGCTCTGCGCGGTGCACACCCCTGCTCATGGGACGGACCTGGCCTCGTCCACGCCGCGCCCCCCCCAGACTCACGCCTCCTGTCGCGGCCGCGCTCCATCCGTCTGCCGCAGCCCCTGTCAAGGTCCGTACTGCCGTCGAGCTCCACATCAGCGACCTCCTCGCCACTCAGTGACATCGAGCTCCACACCGGCGTCGAGCTCCGCGTCAACGAGCCTCTATTTTCATTCAAGTAGCAAGTCGATGTTGTGCTTGAAAGTGCATATTGCAAACCTATGTTTTAAGTCTTTTAGATGTTTCGTAGATATGCTCTGGGGCGGATCCATATTGATCAATGTGTGCGGCCGCACCCAAGCCAAAATGCGGAATACGTTCTAGTATACAAGTTTCTACCCCATTCGCACCCCCGGCGAAATGTCTGCACCCACAGCCCAGCTTAGCCAACATGCAGCCCAACAAAAACAAAGTACCTGGATGCTAGAACTCCGTTCTGACTCTTCGCCTCTTGCAGCGCCCGACGCATCGCCTGCCTTCTCGTGCGCTGCCTCTCCCCTCCTGCCCTTTTCAGCTTCTCCCACGCGGCCATGCCCCATCACTTACCTCGCGAAGTCACGAACTCCCGAGGCCAGGCAGCCGCGTGGCCCGTGGCCGGCCGCGGCACGCCGGCGCTGCTGCATGCTGGCCGTGCGGCCAGCTGCCATAGTGCTACGGTCTGAAGCACCAGGAGGCAGGAGTCTGTCCATCGCCCTGCCCCTGCGTCCCTGTCCTAGTGCCCTTCTATGTTTTTTTTCTTGATCAACGATTCAACGCAAAGTAAGAGGAAGCTAGTTCAAGAGCTTGATAGCCGTTTTAGTGAGACAAGCTCTCAGTTGTTTGTTTGCTCAGCTACTTTAAATCCAAGAGATTCATTCATGATTTTAATGTGGAGATCGAGTTTGATGAACCTAGCAAAATTGTATTCTATAATTTTAGTTCTAGAGATTTAAGGGATCTTAGCCACCAACTTTGCCTCCATATTGCTGACGCGAGAGAGGACAATCGATTCTCCAATATAAATACTATTAGCGATCTTGAGTAATAGACTTATTTGTTATTTAAAAAGAAAAAAAAAATTAATGAATGTTACAAGATAATGTCGTGCTACGAAGTAACCCCATATGGCCGCAACCCCCTCCATATTTCTCTAGCTCGGCCACTGGTATGCTGTAATTGTTTCGTATGGATGTTGCAAAAGTAGATTGAGATGTTGCATATGTTGCAATGGTTGTACACGTATGTTGTAAGCTTTTGTTTCCAATGTTTGATCTGTTTTTTTAGACGTATGTTGCAAGTGTATTTATTTGGATGTTGCATATGTCTCACACATATGTTGCAACTGTTTTATCTAAATGTTGCGTATATTTTATAATTGTTTTCAGGTGTTTTTGTAAGTATTTCAGATGCATATTTCAAGTGTTTCGCCTATCTTCAGAGGAATGTTGTAAGTGTTGCATCTGGATGATTTTAAAAGTAGACCAGGTGTTGTATCTCCCTCCTCGTCTTGTGCTGCTTTGCCTCGGCATCTCCTCCTCGCCTTCTACTGCCTTGCATTCTTCTCAGACCACGAAGAGGGCGCGGCGAGGGATGGTGGCGTGGACGCGAGCACGCGCGCTTCCCTTCTGTTACGCTGGCAGGAATAGGCTTCCGTGGGACTCCAGTTGCTAGGCAGGGCAGGGATTACCGCTTCTGTGGCTAGCCCAAGCCGACGTATCGGTTGGCCGGTGGGAGCTGTGTCCAGACATGCTGTTGGATCGGATGTCCGGGCGCTAGTCGTCCCGTTATTACAATTGCAGTACGTGAGCAGATTGGTTAACAAAAATTGGAGTACATTGGGTCCCATAACAATTTACGCTTTCTTGTAATAAATAAATATTAGCGGCTCATGCCCACCCCGTTGACAACAAAACCCACGCTTTCCTCCTAACCACATCGGGGCGGACGGCTGGCCTGCCGACGTATCTTATCTTGGTGCCCACAGCCCACAAGCGGAAGCGGAGAGCTCTCGCTCTGCACTAGCCGCAGCAATATTATGGCGAGAGCACACCGAGCCCTGGTCAGCTTCTTTAGCTGCCTTCGCTGCCTCAATTCTTGGTAAGGCTGCTGCTGTTCTGAACTTCGGATCCGTCTCTTGCTATTCCAATCCAACGGAGAAATGCATGTTTGCTAATCTCGCTGCGCTACTGGTGCCGGATGGAACAGGTGCGGCGTCCAAGTCGTTCATCATCACCAACAACTGCGAGCACACGGTATGGCCAGGAATCCTATCGAGCGCCGGTTCCGCGGAGATGGACACCACAGGCTTCGCGCTGGAGCCGGGGGAATCGCGCGCTCTGAGCGTGCCGTCGGGGTGGTCGGGCCGCCTCTGGGGCCGCACGCTCTGCTCTACTTCCACCGACGCCGACGCCGGCGGCACGGGCAGGTTCGCCTGCGTGACGGGCGACTGCGGCTGGGGCAAGCAGGACTGCGCCGTCGGCGGGGCCGCCCCGCCGGCCACGCTCGCCGAGTTCACCATGGACGGCAGCGGGGACATGGACTTCTACGACGTCAGCATGGTTGACGGGTACAACCTGCCGATGCTGGTGGCGCCGCAGGGCGCCGCCGCCGCCGCGGGGGGCAGCTGCGTGCCCACCGGGTGTATGGTGGACCTCAACGGCGCGTGCCCCGCCGACCTGCGTGTGGCGTCGTCGTCCGGCGGCGGCAGCGGCGTGGCCTGCAAGAGCGCGTGCGAGGCGTTCGGGTCGGCGCAGTACTGCTGCAACGGCGACTATGGGAACCCCAGCACGTGCAAGCCGTCGGCGTACTCGCAGTTCTTCAAGAACGCGTGCCCACGGGCGTACAGCTACTCGTACGACGACGCCACCTCCACCTTCACCTGCGCCGGCGGTGACACCACGTACGCGATCACCTTCTGCCCCAGCACAACCAGGTAATTACAACATACGTTACATACATCACTTGCTACTGAAGCTGGGCTCTTAGCGTAGCGGTCTCAGGTTTCTTGTTCGTGACTAGTGTAGTGTCACAAAAAAGATTCATTTTTTGTTTCTAATTTGGTGTGCGTAAGCATGACTGTGCGAGACAAATTCCGTCAAACCAAAACACCTTTTGTCCGTGGTTCCAGAAGCTAGAAGGCAAAGGCGCCAGCTCATCACCCAGTCGGCAACAGACCACACCACATAAGGTGCTCGGCGCGCTCAGTTTAGTGACGCCTGACGCGCACCGGTGAGGTCAGCCCAGGCAAGCCACCGCAACCGTGTCCGGCCGCGTCCATGGCCAGCCGTGTCGGCGGTCGGCAGCAACTGCGTTGCCGCCCGCCTGCCCACCCCCCCATATGCCGAGCGGCGCGTAGGCGTCCGTCCACGTCCATGTCCATGTCCAAACGGCAGGCACCTGCCTGACGTCCGCATCCCGCGAGTCAGCATCAATCAACCGCCGCCTGGTGGCGGCAGGCAATTGCCGTGGATTTCGCCTAACGTAATTAATTTTTTTTTATTTATATTTAATGCTTCATGTATGCGTCCAAAGATTCGATGTGACGGAGAATCTTTAAAAATTTTGACAAAATGAAGTGAACTAAACTGGCTCTGGGTTTTGTTGGCCCCGGTGGACCACGAATTGATTGAGGTGTTGACCACACTGCGAAAGCCTCATGATACACGCCTCTTACCGTCTTCCGTGTGATTTTTTTTCTTGCATCATATGTTGTTCTCTGCACGAGCCCACGGCGTTACTATACATGGCCAACCGGCACGGCGTGACTATACATGGTCAAACTAGTGGCCCGACCCTGACCCTGCCCTTAGCACAATTTGGCACGGTACGACAGGACACGATGCCGTGACACCGTGCTCTGGTCGCGGCTAAGGCACGACCCTAAAACCCTTGAACCGTGTCATTTCATGCCGCTGGGCACGACGGCCCCATTGCATGTGCCAGCCCTAACCCGATGCACAAGGACGTCCGAGCCTCGCCGCCGCACCGTGTACAAGCCTCACCGATGCAGCCCTCCGTCGCCTTCGAGCCTCACCATCATAACGCACCCGCACCACCGCCACACGCCCTATCGCTGTCGCCGTGCCGCGTGAGGCAGGGCCATGGCGCCTCTGCCTGCGCAAGAAAGAGGTCGCGCGAGTGGCTCCACAAGGTGGACGAGGCGGGAGGTGGCCAGGTGGGGCTGCGTGCCCGTGCGACAGCGCGAAGGGAGCAAGGTCCTAAATAGTGGTTGTAGCGGCCGCAATGGCGGTAGCAGTCTCGTACCACTACAGCTACGACGTAGCGGACTAGATTTAGCAAGTTGGAACTTAGCGGCCGCTATTTGAGTTAGCGGGCCGCTATAACAGTCCATAATTCTCTGTAGCGGCCTATAGCGGCCGCAGTGGCATGGTATGGTATGTAATAAATTAATAATCTTAGCCCACTTAAGTACACATATGGTTTAAGTTATCATAAGGGTGATAAGGTTGCTATTTTTTATAATAATAAGGAATAATGGTCTTAAGAACTATTTATGCCTCTCATAATCTATTTCTTTATAAACTCTGGTATATAGGATGACTTACATAAAACATCATGTTTTTTTTCTACATTTAAGTATGTGAAACCTCCGTTCTTTGAGTACAATTAAATGTATATTTATACCTATTATTTATGATTTATATGCTTAAATTTACATATAATTATCATAGCCCGGTATTGAAACTTAGCGTCCGTAATAGCACCCGCTATCCGTGATCCGCTACCTCGATACCAACCCGCTATACTCTATTTAATACCTTGGAGGGGATGTCGGTGGACGCCGGGCATCGGGAATCACGAGATATAGAGAAGGGCATAGGGATCTGTGTGTGCGAGAGAGAGGCACGGTCGTGTAGATTGAGGGAGAGGTGACTGAGAGAGGGATCAGGATATGGGAGCTAGGGTTTAGGTTCGGTTTATATACTCCTTTACATACATCTAACAATTATAATGTATATGATGTCATTCAACAGTGGAGAATGATCGGCCCGTGCCGACCCACGTGCTTGTGTCGGCACTATGGGCTGAAGTCGCGGCACAGGCATGACACTTATACCCGTGCCTGTGCCGTCACTGGGACTATGGGCCCCGTACCGTGCCGTGCTTAGGCCATGCTTTCTTGTGTTATGCCCAGGGCGACTGAGCAGGGCTGTCCCGTTTGGCCATCTATAGGCATAACTAACCTGCAATTTTTCTCAAGATTGTCTCTATTCCAAGCATTTCTATCCTCTTCCTCTTGTTAGGCTACACTCCTCCCAAACCCTGCCCGCGCGACGCTCCGACCCCATTCCCTATCGTTCGTTTCTCCGGTGTCCTTCCTCCCATTCTCTCTATAGAACAAAGAAGAGAAGCTCAGGGTTTCTGATCCTCAAAGATACAGGCCGATCAGACACTCAACATGAGTGTCAATTGTTCCATTGAAGTGTAATGAAGAGGATCTTTGATGTCTTCGTTATGACCACTTCTCTCCCTAGGCCCAGTGTCCCCACGGGGACATCACCTTGATTTGGTCGAGTAGAAAGACAGATTTTTTTTTCTAAATTACTTTATACCCATGCATATGAGCCCCTCTGTTAGAATCACTATGATGACTCTCCTGTCATTGTTAGGTTGTTACAAGGTTATTATTTGAGACATAGGGTCCTAAATCTTTGTACTTGGTTTTAATGGTTTGACATACATGATACATGCGACTCATTATAGAAAAAAACCTGTAGTTTCTCACTTTCTTTGTGTGGTTTCCTATGTAACTGCAGCGTCAAAGCGGCCGGGGCGCAAGGAGGCCTGCCGCTGATGAACGCCACCATGGTGTACCTCGGCGGCGACCAGCTCGAATCCGCCACAGCCGCGGCACGGCTGCCGTCCGTCCTTGTCCTCGCCGTCGTGTCCCTCGCGCTAGCAGGCGCTCTGTACTCATCACAAGCCCGCCCCACTGCACAAATGACGCGACGCCGGACGCGGGACAGCCCACGAGGCAATCGTGCTCCTGCACACTGAAAAATGCAGGACAGAAGCGAGAAATGGACGCACCACCGGCAGGCCGGTGGTGCTCACACGGTCCTGCGAGATATATGGCCGGTGGTGCTCACACGGTCCTGCGAGATATATTGCGAGCCCCAGCAACGACAGTGTGATTCACCCGTGCCGAAAGAGACAGCTGCGATGCAAAATTGATTGAAGACATTATTGATTTATTGTGCATTTTCTTAGATATATATTTACACCATTATACGCATATATGGTAGTAGTTGATATCTTCTTCCTTCTCTCACCTTTTCTGTAAGTTAGTGGATATAATACGAATATTTAGTGCACGGCCATAGAGGGGTCCCAGGTCGCAGTCGAGATGGGATTGTTGGACTTGTACGTGATAGACACGAAATTTTGGCTGATGTAACTGGAATTATATATATATATATATATATATATATATATATATATATATATATATATATATATATATATATATATATATATATATATATATATATATTAGGTAAGTTATTCTCGCAGCTACTACATGAATAACTTATTCTATAGCCACCTTGTTTTACGATAATATTTGTACCAATTTACGATAATGATAATACACATTTACGATACATGGGTTACTATGATTCAAGATGATACTTACCATAATGTTATAGTAAATCACTTATGAGAGAGTTACCATAATCTCATAAATTAATATAGTAATTATCGTAACTCAAAGTGGCTATATAATAACTTATTCTACGGCCACCTATAAAACAGTACGTGTATATATATATATATATATATATATATATATATATATATAGAACTACTACTCCGCAGCTGGCTATAGAATAACTTATTCTTTAGTCACTTTGAGTTACGATAATTACTATATTAATTTACAAGATTATAGTAACTCTTTACTAAGTGGTTTACTATAATATTATGGTAAATATCGTCATGTGTTATAATAACCTAACTATCATAAATATGTATTGACATTATCGTAAATTAGTATATAAAATTATTGTAAATGAAGGTGGCTACAAAATAACCTATTCTATAGCTAGCTATAGAGTATACTCTCCCTATATAGGATAATCATCTATTCAACTCCCTATTTCTATTCTATTAACTACATTTGCTTGCTGCATTTTGCTGGTACGTGGTGTTTGGTTTCATGGACTAAACTTTAGTCTTTGTCATATCGGATGTTTGACACTAATTTATAGTATTAAATATAGACTTGACGGTGTTTTGAATAAACACCAACTAGTAAATTTATATTTGTTACGCGTTAGGCCCGGATGGTGTGCTAAAGGACACAAGGTTTATACTGGTTCGGGCAGAATGTCCCTACGTCCAGTTTGTTGTTGCTCGTGTTATTAGCACTGAAAAATGTTCGTAGTAGGGGTACAAACGGTCGAGAGAGGGACATGTCCTAAGTCTCTGATGGAAAGGTCGAAAGGGCGCTGAGAGCTCGGTTGCTGCTTAGTAGTGTGTTATGTGGTGTGTGATGTGTGAAATCGATCCTTCCCCTTAGTGGGGTGCCCTGCCTTCCCTTTTATAGATCAAGGAGGAGCAAGGGGTTATAGATGGGAGAAATAAGAAAAACCAGAGGCCAAGAAGGTTCTTCGAAGGTGCCGGATCTTCCTTTTTCTCTGAGCCAGCCCCGCTGACATGGCAGACGGTGCCAGGGATAGCACGTTCGCTCATCTTGATAGGGCCGTGCTCTGGCTTCGTTCAGCAAGTGGTCACGCCCCATCCTGCCCCGGCGGGCGACACGGTGCACCACGGTGCCGAGCCGTGACCCTACGGGGAGCAGACGGGGAAGTGACCATACGTCCGTTCTGTAGATGAGGTGAGTTCCCTCCTAGATCGTAGTGGTTGTAGTATGCTTGTGTGTCAGGATCCGCGTCCGAGGGCTGATGGCGGCACCCACAACACTATAAGACAAAAGTCGACGCCTACAACACTATTCGGGCTCTGTCATGCCTAGAAGGGCTTAAAGCGCCCGTCCCATCATATCCTGACGGTACTTTCCCACATGCGTGCAGGGTATGGTCCTCGGTACTGCGGTTGACTTGAGTGTCCTGTCTTACCCTGTGCTCGTCATTATGAAGGAGCAGGGTGCAGACGTTGGGCGAGTGGAACTGCCGGGATGTCGGGCGAGGAGGAGCCATTCCCTCGGACGTCGAGGCGAGGCAGGGCCTACCCCGAGACATCGGGCAAGGCGGAGCCATCCCTCGGACATCAAGCGAGGCAGAGCTAGCCCTTCGGATGTCAGGTGAGGCAGAGCCTGCCCTCAGCCGTTGGGCAAGGCGAGCCAGTCCCTAGTCGTCGGGCGAGGTGGAGTCGCCCCTAGACATCGAGCGAGGAGGAGCCGGCCCTTAGTCATCGAGCGAGGTGGAGTCTGCCCCCAGACATCGAGCGAGGCGGAGTCCAGCCCCCAGACGTCGGGCAAGGCGGAGCCATCCCTCGGATGTCGGGCGAGGCAGAGCCTGCCCTCAGACGTCAGGTGAGGCAGAGCCAGCCCTCAGCCGTCGGGCAAGGCGGAGTCTGCCCCCAGATGACATCGGGCAAGGCGGAGTCTAGCCCTCGGGGGTCGGGTGAGGCGGAGCCAGCCCTTTGTGGCCGGGCGAGGCGCAGCCAACCTTCGATCGTATGGGCAAGAAATGTAGTTGCGTTCTTGCCTGTTCGGAAGCATCAACATTTGATTGTTATTAGCTCCTTCTCTTTGGGTACCCCAGTATTCGGTCCCGATAGTAGCCTCCGAGCCCCCGGGTGATTCGGATAGAATTGCCCGGGCGGTGTTTCGATTCGCTAGAGGGTGTGCGTGAGCGCACCCATCGGGTGTAGCCCCCGAGCCCCCGGGTGATTTGGGTAGAATCGTCCGGGGGGTAATTGGACCCTCTGAGGGTATGGCTGTGAGATTTGACATTTTGATCAACTGGTTAGTTTAAAGGGAACCCTGGTATCCGTTTATGGGGATTCATCCACGGTCAGCCTGGTTGAGACTCAATTTCGGATCGAGACTCCCTCGAGGCTCGTGCGCCTGAGTTTTGGCCGTTCGCGGACCCATCCTTCATTGGGACGGCCGTCAAAATCATTGGACCATCCCTCAAACTCCTGGGCCCAGGCGGGCAGGAGAAACACTTTTTGACTCGTATCCCTTCTGCGGGAAAAAGAGTCCTGGTTTGCCCGGGAAGGCAAAACGTCCGACGCGACTTTGGTGGGAAAGGATAGGGATTGCGGGCGCATATCCCTGCGATATGACGTGGTGGTGTATCATGGCAAGCATGGAGATCTAGGTGGACAGTTGCCCTTCTCGCATCCCTCACCCCTATAAAACCAAGTGGTTCACCCCCAGGGTTCCTTACTTTGCCTCCTTGCCTTTGCATCTACAACCTCCACCGCCAATCGCCTAAGCCTCCCACACCCGCATCGCAGCCGCTATCAAGCTCGCATCCAACCACCCCAATCACCTAATGGAGCCATGGTGCAGATCCGATGTCACCCTCCAGCGCCTGGAGGGCCTTTCGCCGTGGCCTTCTTTGCACGTGGACCGCCACCGAGGAGTGGCGGCTACCCGATAATGAGGACGCACCGTCGCCGCTCGATGGCTATGTAGTTTCCTTCACTCACTTTCACAAGCGGGGATTTGCCACCCCCGCCCACAAGTTCCTTTGGGGGTTGCTGAATTACTACAATGTGGAGCTGCAGCACCTCACTCTCAATGGGATCCAGCACATTGCGGCGTTCGTCGCCCTGTATGAGGGGTTTCTAGGGATTAGTCCCCACTTTGATCTATGGTGGCACTTCTTCGCCATCACCCTTCTGAAGAAGCGGGAGAAGAAGCACGAGCTGAGCGTGCCAATGGGATGCGCCGGCATTCAGCTGCGCAACAATCGGGTAAACGAATACCCGTCGATGAGTCTATCGACCTCCAATAAGAGGTGGCATTCACATTGGTTCTATGTCAAGAATGACGCAGCTGCCCCCTTGCCAGTGTTCACCGGTCGCCTCATCGAAGAGGCCCTGGAATCATGGAGGAAGTGGGGGGTCCTAGATAAAGACAAGAAGAAAATTTTAGACCATCTCACCGCCATCCGAATTCTGAAGGAGAGGGGCGTGAAGGGGTCAGGGATCATCGGTGCCTATCATACGCGGAGGGTGGCACCGCTGATGAGTAGTGCACTTCCCCTATACCTGATGGTGCCCGGAGCATCCCTCGATGGGACGACGCTTGTTGATGGAGCGCTCTCCCCTCCGAAGTGGCATAGCGTATCAAGGAGGCGATGGAGCCTTCGAAGGACGACACCGGCATCATTCTTGATTTCGTGTATCCGATGCCAAGGCACCCCCCAATGCGGCCAAAACCGGGGTACATCGACTTCGTAAGTTCTCTTTCCCCGTGCCTCCTTTTTAATTGAGCTCCCGACTTCTTGATGCTGACATTGAGATAGCGGGACTAGTCAAAGAGGCTCTTCCTTATGGACCATGCGTGGCTCTGCTGCGAAGGACCCGCTCGTGGCGGCGGCGAATTGCACCGCGCCCGAGTGGCAGAAGAAGACGAAGGAGGTCAAGAGGAAGAAGAAGCAGTAGAAACAACAAGCACTGGAGCAAGGAGAGGAGACAAACAATGATGACGAGGAGGAGGATGATGAGGTAGTCATAGACGCCGAGTGGAGTGACCTGGGAAGCGAGGACACGACTGACAGGTACCCACTCGTCAATGAAGGGACCCTTCCCGTTCCATGTGGGAGAAAGTGCGTCCGTGGGGCCGGTGGAGATGGGCTGAACTATCGCCCTACCCCAAGAGATAGCAGGAGCGGGTGGGTCTACCGCCGCACCCAAGGTGCCAGCATAGGGGGTGACCCTGCCGCTGCACCTCAAGAGCCAGCAGGGGCAGGCGGATCTACCGCCGTGCCTGAGGTGTCGGTGGAGGGTGGCGGCTCCAGCTGCCGCGCCCCCGTATGCAAGGGAGGTGGGCCCCTCTGCCCAGGAGCAGGGGGCAGACT